CGATGATATATATTATTGCGTCTTGGCTGACACCGTGGAGGGAGTACAGGCCCACTGTATGTCATACACTCCAGCTGATATGAGGTTGTTTCAAATCTCATGATATATCATGTAATGTTTGTGTTAATACAACGACTATAAATCAAAACCCAACATTTGATTCAAGGGTGATCCCGGCGGCCTCATCACAGACGAGTTACCTGTAATCAAGGCGTGGTCTGCCTGCCTGTACAAAGGTAAACAAGAATTTGATAAGTGTGTGACTTGCAGCGTCATATTCTTTTGTGACGCTAACGTGTTTACCTAACGTGACAAAAGGGGAGTGACGATAGACTGAAAGGGCATGTGAAATCATTGATCCTTTTACTTAGACGGGTACATATTCTCACGGTTAACGAACTAAAGTGCACGTTACATGAGTATCTTCTCTGCGATGAAATAATTGCTGACATTAACTATTTTTTGTTAAGGTTTCCTAAAGGTTGACAAGTTTCACAATTATTTTGTGTATATTTATAGAAAATGTATTTTTATGAGCCCCTGTGATTTGATTTTGTTTGTCGTTAAACGCCACGCTCAGCATGCATGTATTTCAGTTATATGAGCCTGGACCAGACAATCCAGTGAATAACTTCATGGGCATCGATCTACGCAATTGGGATACGATGATATGTATCAAACAAGTCGGCGAGCCTGACAAGCATTGCAGAAGCCCAATTCTGACCCGGATCTTCACGGGTAATAATAATAATAATAATAATAATAATAATAATGTGTCCATTTATATAGCACCAAACTCCTCACTAGGTATGGTCATAGCGCTAACAATCAAGGCACAGGACATTATTTCCCCGGATAACCCAAGCTGCCTGTTAGGCGCTAGAAGGTTATAGTCATATGACTTTTTTCCACCGGGTACCCATTTGTCCTGCTGGGTGAACAGAGACAATTTTGAACAAACTCACTTGCCTAAGGTGAGACCACATGTGTCACATGTGCTTCGTTGTGGGGCAGGACTCAAGTCCCAGAAACTCTCAGGAGTCAAGCTGCCAAACACGGTCACCCATCCAAGGACTCTCCGAGCTCGACGCTGCTTAACTTCACCGATTTGTGACCTGAACTTTGAGCACAGGACCACGCGCCACCACACGGTAACCTGTGATATGATTTTGGTATAGCTGACTGTGTCAACATTTACTCAAACTTAGGACAAGTGGGATAGTCCAATGGGTCAAGTCCATTTCCTATGTCGCCCGTCGGGACATTAATGGGATATTCTTGCTAGCTCACCGAGGTCCCACAAAGGATTGTCATGGTTGGGAAAAAATCAGTTTGAACTCTTAAAGTCTATCGACTTCGAGCCTGATAAAACGTTGTCTCACTGTACACAGCTCTACATCCACACTTCTACCATATGCTAACACTGTATCCTTCCAGGCCTCATTGAATTCGCACTGCAGTCGAAAATTCTCGCCTTTTAAGATGGACTTTTAACCTTGCCTTCAAAAAAAGATGTTTTTCAACACAGGTCTAGAAGCCATTAACGAGAGTTTCAAAAGTCCCGAATACTTCAGATTTTACGATAAAATATACATGAAACGCTAATAATCTCAAACATTTCGAAAATTACCGCAAAACGTAACTGAATCATAATTACTGATATTTGAAGAGGGTGGCAATTAACATGATGAAATGTTTCGCGCAGCGTGTTGCTTACATGGAAACATTGCACTGAGTTCATGAAATATAACATTAATCTTGACAAGATGGTTCCACTTATGTAGCGAGCATCGGATCGCACAAGTACTAAGGACAATCTGTATCATATATCGTAGAATTGGCTCCCTGCTTTAAGGACTGAGCGTCAAACATTTTGTCTGTCTGGCATATTCTGCATGACAGGACTTAATAACATTTTGTGGTGTAATATCATACAATTTTAGTTGAATAGATTTTCTAGCATTTGCACATTTTCAATGTGCATAATGATTTCTTTAAGCATTTACGTCAGTAACAGAGCAATACAATCCGTCGTACATTTACACGACACGCATCCTTTTTACACGACACACACCCGGCATAATATTTTAAATCATTTTTCTGTGTGGCTGTGACAGGTACTCTAGAATATCAAGAATAAACGTTGCTGATACTGAATCACATTAACAAAAGTTGCTTGTGTTCTTCAATCTATGTTTTGTCAGATGTTGCTTTCGAATCGTAGCGAGACTATTATTTAGGAAATCAGTATTCAAAGATCTGCAGATTAGTTATGCCTATGTTCTGGTCATGCTTTATCAACTCTTACCGATATAACCCCCGACAGTTGTTTTAAAATTCTATTTGAACTCGTATTACATTTACACATGCGATATACAGAAAACATATTGCAATATGGCATTATTCGTTGCCTTGGACACCTGTGAAATGGATTACAGTCTGGTACTGAACACGTGATGTCAGAAACGTCTTTTATAAATAACGTCATTCAAAACGTGGACATCTGCGGGCTGACATTGACAAACAAACATCCTCTACTTTCGTCCGAGGGTATAGACGTAAAGAAGGCAATTTTATCCATTACTTTTAATGAGCTGTATATATACGACAATTATCTACCTTCACGTCATCAGTCTCGAGGAGGGTTATAAAAAGCAAAGGTATTTGGTCAATTTTCAGTGTGGCAAGAAACCAAACCTGGCTAGCTATTCTCGAAACGTTCGTAGCCCTACGAACCTCTTAAGCCCATTCTTAACACATTGGCTACGATCAAAGTTACGAATTCTTAGGGCTACGAACGTTTCGAGAATAAGGGCCCAGGTTCCACAAAGCATTCGTAAAGTTACGACCTGTCGTAACTCTACATTTTACCATAGGCTTACGTATGTCGTAGCGCTACGAACGCTTTGTGGATTGGGACCAAGGTTTTATGTTTTCATAAGTTGGAATGAAAAGAATGAAACATCTGGTTCTTGCGTCGTATTTAAGTTATTCTTCTGTCATGTAAAAGCTACATCGCCATTTGCATATTTTCAGGTAATGAAGGAGCAACATCAGCGAGTACAATGACGTCACAGCCGCGGCGCCTTAAAAACAGTTAGCTGATTACTTAATATACTACATATTGGTACGTCATAAAGTAGATTACTCTCCAACAACAACAAAACAGATTTGACCAAGGAAACGGTATCCCTACAATCATTGAATGTATGGAATCTAACGTCGTCTTGAAAGGTAATTTAGCGATTGAGTAACAGCTTTGCGTGGTAAAATCGTCCATATCAAGCATAGCTTTCGTGGAACTACCACTTAGAGTAAGGTGATGACAAACCGAAATCTGGGATTCCAACCTACGATTGTAAAATTCTGGAACGCACTAGGGACCAACTCTGCGCACCGAAGGTCAAACGACTGGGCGAGTCAAGTTTATTTCCCTATTTACAGTTGTATCAAAACGTCCAGTGTATTTTCATGTAAACAATTGACTTTCCTTTGCATGTATTTTTGACGGATGTGTTCACCATTTTCGGGAACACCTGGTACAATGACTACTTACACGTGATACCTTATCACACGCACATATCGCTGGGTTCGTTCAGCCGTCTCAGCTTCCAGCAGAGATTTCTTATTAACAGGGACATAGTTTTGTCGCGTTAATTCGGTCAAGTTATCATTTTGAGAAACATCTGCATAGCTTGATGGCGACAATCCGTGTGTGATTTTTTATTTATTGCTTAAAAAGGGTTTAAAAGGGGGTTAAAATTGAAAAAAATATGAAAAAAGTAGTTTTTGGATTTCGATGCATTCATGCACGTGTTTTCGTGCATCAGTCTGTGTCACGAGGGATTCCGACTGTAATACAACTCTCCAATCCCAGCACAACCGATGCATGCAGTCATTGGTCAGGGATGCATGTGATGAGCGATGTCGATGCAGTTAGGAGCATCTTTCAGCTGCTTAGTCACTGTGACGACCTTTGTGCACGTTGCTGCTACGTCAACGCCAACGTAACGTTCTCGTTCTCAACAAAAACGTTTTTAAGGCGTCTTGGATAAATGCTTTTAATAAGGTAAACCACACACATCTATACACAGTAGATAAGTCGGTTTCTAAACGAGTATTAATAATGGTAGATATGTCATAGAGCACACCATTTCAATAAGTTTGTTTAAAACTTCATATATTCTTCTTCCGTGTTAACACGTATACATTTGATGTCTTTTCACCGCCAAAACATTGTTATTTTACAAATAAAGGAAACGCGTCTACTGCAGCTCTTAGTCACGTAAGCAACGCAGGCGGATGATCCCGTCCACTGATCGCCTTGTACAAAAGTTTAGATCTTGGTGATCAATATTAACCCAGAATCCTACAGATGTTGAGTGGAATAACAGTAAAACATATGCTGGGAAACCGCTGACGTCATAGAGTGAGTGAGTGAGTGAGTTTGGTTTTACGCCGCTTTTAGCAATATTCCAGCAATATCACGGCGGGGGACACCAGAAGTGGGCTTCACACATTGTACCCATGTTGAGAATCGAACCCGGGTCTTCGGCGTGACGAGCGAACCAGTACAAGCATTTATATTGCCGTAATGTTGCTGGAATATTGCTAAAAGCGGCGTAAAGCCAAACTCACTCCACTCTAGGTCCAATTTAAATTTCTAAAACCTATCTGGGCAAGTCCTTCAAAATAACTGTACAAGAAGTACATGTACAATTCTATGATAAAAAGAAAGTCGGGATTGTACCAATGAGAGACCGAGCACTGTTTATAAGTGTCTGTAACTATTACGTGCTGAAACATAATAGATTGTTCCCATATATCCGTAATTGCATTTGTTATAAATGAATACCCAAGGATCAACGTTGTCACCATATCGAATTCATTAACACTAATAATAATGATCAAAATAAAGTACAAATGTACATAAATGCTTGTACTGGTAAATGTCTTTAGCAAAGACGTGATATAAATGCCACTTGAAAGATGATATTTACCTTTAAACTGTCCACAATCACAGTGTCCACCTGTCTTTTCCCGGGTATTTAATCCATGACAGGGTGCTTGTCACTCACACACCTGTAATCAGTCTTGAGGGAAGTAGTGTCGTATGCTCCCGTATCGCTCAGTATTGTCAGCTTCCCGCTGTAACATGAGACATCGGTTTGAGACACAGCCTTACCCAACTCAGTTATATTTAACGGCATACGCTGTGCTGCTACGCATGAGCGGTGCCGCCTTCCGTTAAGCGCCCCAGTACACCGTGTGCAGGTCTTTGATGACAGAAAGATATCATTTAACTCCACCTGATAAAATCTATTAACAAGCGACTGATAAATTGAAACCAGTTGTGTGTGGGATAACATCACTCTCGGTTTCCGATTCCCTAAGACGTTCTACTACATGAATGGCTTAGAAGACATACCAAGCATCTAGTGTTGCTTGGTATGTTTGGGGCGATCTGAGGCTACACCAGGCTAAGTGTATATACCTCATACATTATGTCGTTAAAAAGTCTGTTCGTCACAAACAGCAATGTAACCACGGAATAGGTTTTCATTTATCTATATTACGGTTAGCAAAATATTTGGATAATCCGCAAATGTGTTTTTCGTTTTGCTGCTAAGAAATTTACACACGTGGCAAGGTTGTAGACTGCAGTTCATTTTCATCTTATCGTACGTCATCACAGCGACTGTTGGGGTAGTTAGTGATTAGTCCACATTGGTGGGAGGGTGAGTTAGAGGGTTGGGTGTCACACCGATGTCAGCAATCTCTCAGTAGGGACACCGGAAATGGGCTTCACCCATTGTACAAACCTAAGAAATCGAACCCAGGCCTCCGGCGTGACGAGCTAGGCTACCCCCCTAAACCCACCCCACCCACGTCATTGATGGGGCGGTCCATGTGGAAGGATATATTTGTTGAACCGAAACTTCCAAACTTGAGGTTCATTCAAACACGTTAACCAGAAAACACCACTTTTGGAAACAAACAAGATGGCCGTGGGCTACTGCAGATAGAATGAGCAGAATAAGGTGTATATCCTTGGTTCACAAGTCTACCTTGTGAACCCGTAAACTATTATTTGGTGGGTCAAGGTTTTTCATTCATGAAATTCACTTTGCATATAAAACTCATAACAGAGAATGACAATGTTTCCAAATAGCAGGGTGGTGGCGCTCTCTGACGCATCATGTATGCTACCCCTATTTGCCCATCCTTACTTTCATGGCGCAATAACAGAGGTATTCTTCTGCAGGGCGTGTCCGCATACAACTGTCTGGATTAAGTATTTATTATTATTGCTGTTTGCATGTATAGGCTTGTGCAAATAACTCCAAGTTTCTTTTTATTGTGTACAAAACACTGTGCAAATAGACGAATGTGGAACTGTATTCGGAAGGTGTCCAGCGGTATTCGCTTTGGTTAGATGCCAATACTAAAACGTTTATTACGGGTTGAAATAGTTTATGATTTTAGTATAAACTTTTGGATAGATATTTGAAAATATAATATTTGTGTAGGGGTAGCAGAAAAATAGAATTGAGTATGAGAGAGTGCATCTTGTGAACCTCAAGGAAGTCCTACACTCTGGAAGCGGATGAGGCTAGGGTTGTAGGATATTTTTCTTTTTGCATAATATTCAAATTTTTATGCATGGGCGATGCACCATTGCACGAAAGCTATATTTCCACACATAACGCGGTATATTCCTATGCCAACAACTGAAAGTTCAGGATCATGAATTCTTCATGGTAATGGCCTGCGGTCATTCCCCACCATTGTACCAGAGCGTTTCACTGAAGAGGTACCACCTAACACCCGATTACATACAGCTAACACCTACGTCACTTGTCCTCTACAGTCGACAAGTAACTGAGACACTGCTCAATGCGGTATTAAACACAATTCACTCACTAAACTGGTTTTTGTCATTTCTAAGAAGAAAGTGGTTGAAACAGGCTCCATACGTTTGAAACATACTGGGGCGCTTCGAATTATTTACAAGAAGCATATATATTTTTAACTGGGAAATATTTTTTTCTCCTTAAGTAAACCTTTGTAAGTTTATGGGTTGTGGGTGTGGTAGAGTGACAGGGTTATCTTCAATAATGATATATATATAAATTGTTTAATAGGAAAAAAATAACTGAAACTACCGCTAAAGTACTCGTGTTCTTATGCTAAGAGGTTTACGGCAATGACCATGCACTCATCGTGGTTTCCACGCTTTGCCCATTTCCATATGTTTAAGTTTCTAACAGCACGAGTGCCGGTTTTACAACCCGGTACAGTAGCACGTAGACAGGCGCAAGAGGTGACGGGTCTCGCTTCAATCATAAAAGTAAATTAGTTTGTTTATTAATTGACAACAGAAACAGTTTTTAGTTTGAATGCAGTCAGTAATGTGATATACCTCAGTCAGTAATGTGATATACCTCAGTCAGTAATGCGATATACCTCAGTCAGTAATGTGATATACCTCAGTCAGTAATGTGATATACCTCAGTCAGTAATGTGATATACCTCAGTCAGTAATGTGATATACCTCAGTCAGTAATGTGATATACCTCAGTCAGTAATGTGATATACCTCAGTCAGTAATGTGATATACCTCAGTCAGTAATGTGATATACCTCAGTCATTTGTAGCGTAGATACAAACCCTTTCGAAAGATGTACAAAAAGACATTTCCAGTTACTATACATCTGTATACTATCAATTTTGATGATAAATAATTCATAATTTCAGAATCATGATATACCTCAGTCATTTGTAGCGTAGATACAAACCCTTTCGAAAGATGTACAAAAAGACATTTCCAGTTACTATACATCTGTATACTATCAATTTTGATGATAAATAATTCATAATTTCAGAATCATGAGTTTTTTCAATGACACCACACATAAAACAATATGCCAATAATTGTCATATGCTTTGTTGTAGATGTAACGCTGCACCACCACAAAAAAATAAATCATTTGCTAACAGTGAGAGGAACCCATTTCTGGAGTCTGTTTGTTAACACAAACGAACGTGTTTCGTCAAAAAATAACTGTATGCTGAGTTTGTTCCCGGGTAACAGTGTTGTGAGATTAACACACTGTCTTGTACCAGAACCCTGATACCCTGGACCGGCTGAACGCTACTGAACACTGCACATGACAAGAGTTAAGTTCGGGGTGAGATTTATTGAGTCTGTCGCCCTTGTAATATCAAGTCGAGACATTTATCATTTTTATGTTTTATGTATGAGGCAAAGAATTTGACCGACCAAACAAGGGAACTGTTGCTGGATTTGTTCTAATTGTTTTGCGTCGGTGACATACTTGCAATGTTCCCGATATAGCAGTACGTGTATTTATGAGGAGATTGCCATCTCCATGTGTGGAACGTCTGCGTCTGTGACTGGAAAAAAGGTTTAAAAAACGACGTCATGTTGTGACGAAATCTGGAACAATTAAAAACATATCCTACATTTGATTTAAAACCTAATTTTCCACGATGCTTCACATTCATGTCTGTTTTTGCCATCTGATTGTTGAAATCATTCAGTGACGAACACACACGAAGGCGGGGAAAGGGGTGAAAAAAGTGACCCATATTTGTTTTTTGAAAGTGGGGCACTGGGATAGAAATACTGTCGACGGTGACAGAGTATGCGGTCACCGAATTTCTCACTTCCATCGTGAAAACAGTTGTTTTATATGTAGATTGTCATTGGCTCAAAATAGTATTTTTAAGGATGAATGATGAGTGAGTGAGTATGCTTTTACTCCGCTTTTAGCAATATTCCAGCAACATCACGGCGGGGGACACCAGAAATGGGCTTCACACATTGTACCCATGTTGGGAATCGAACCCGAGTCTTCGGCGTGACGAGCGAACGCTTTAACCACTAGGCTACCCCACCGCCCCCGATGAATGGAGAGGTTATGTAGATGCGATGATATTGTTAAAATGGACCCATGTACACCCGATACAGTGATATACAGGTGTTGGACAGATATGTATGGTGATGGTAATGACACTATAGCGATGACTTCACATAACCAGAGAAAGAGTTTGTTGTAAGACCGGGGTTGACAGTACGTTGGTTATATCACGGCTCAGCTTGATGTTTAGTTTAAACATATTTTATTCACAATGTGAAAAGGATCGAGGACAAGTTCTTTCAACTTATTAAACCCCTCTCCGAAGATATTTACAATAACTAATTACATCACAAGCAATTATTAGAAACAGAGACAGAGAAAGACTGAAAGATAACAGGGGGAAATGCTATAATACAAATGGTGTATAGAGAGAAGACTGATGTGGATGAGTACCCGAAATGAAACAGGTTTTTGTCATTTACAAACATGGTGCAGGCAAACCCGAACCATTAGGTAAATATAGGATTCGAACCCACAGCTAAAGGTTTCTGACAAACCTTTGGGACAAAACTCTGTAGCGAATTAAAACATCCTATAACCCAGGGCCGACCACACACAGCCAAGAGAAAGTTGCATTAATTGGTCCATGTTGGGAATAGAACGAGGGTTTCAGTGTCACGAGTCAACGCTTTAACAACTTGCCTACCAAATCGCGGACAGCCAGTTAACTCAGGTACAATATTTCTGGAAACTGACAAGTATTGTTAATATCACTGTTCAGAAATCACCGGAAAGGGTTTGGAAACAATAAACGTATGTTTTGAAAGAAGATATAAGATCACGCTTCACTAACCACGAGCGGAAGTCACTGTCCTGCTGTCATTCATTATTAGCGCCAATGGCATTGCAGAAGAAATGTCAATTGTGTAAACGTTTACGACAGATTAAAAGCTCACCTTCATCTTGTATCCTGGTGAGCTATACAGAGTGAATTGTTGCTAAAACCCCACAAGCTAGATCTCAGTCGAGATAAGCAGGGGCCCCACTGGGAATAAGAGACTACGTTATGCTTCAGATACGTACAAACGGATTAAAGGATCAACTGCTGAAATCGGTCAGACCTGAACGGGTCCAGATAATCCTATCCCAGGACCGGAGATGATATCTCAGGACCTCACCTTAAATTGTTTTCAGTCTCCGTCCAATTACTGGCAGGTCTATTGTGTTCATCTAGCCATTTTGAGATTATGTTGTCAACGTGAC